GGATCAGGGAGAGGGCAGAACCAGCGACCATCCAGGCTTAGCAGGGAGCTTTGGGTGTGCCTGAGGGCAAAGGAAGCAGCAGCGCGGTGCCCCAGACTGGGACGCGCGACCCTGCCAGTGCCCGGAGCGCTGTCAGGCAGTGCCGGGATCCCGGCTGTGGTTCTGGTGCCCACAAGTGAGGAATGGCAGCCCCAGGCTCAGAGCCAGTCAGAAAGCCAAGCAAGTGAGAGCAGAGGGAGGGCACCCTTCCAGTCTCTCTTGGGCATGGCCGCAAAACAGCCCCTGCTGCTTCTTCCTCCGCCTGTGTTTGGGCTGTGCTGGTGGCAGAGGCAGCCAGGCTGTGCTCTGCCTTCCAGAGCCTGTTGGGAGCGGGCATGAAAAGCGCTGTGTGCACAGCAGAGAGGCCTGGAAGGTGCTGGCAAGAGCGTCCTGCGGGAGCAGGGCTCTGGGCTCTGGCTGGGAACAGCCTGGTCTTGGTGCCGTGGGCGCAGGCAGGAGTTGAGGCAGGTGAAGAGGCACTGAGCAGCTTGTGTTTGTAGAGGGCCTGGGGCTGCACGTCTGAGCCTCCACCTGGAAAGGCACTTGGGGGAATAGGAGCTAGAGCTGGAGTGCCTGTCCTGAAAGGACATGAAGTCCTTCAGCCTTGCCAGCGTTTCCTAAGGGTGTGTTGGTGTTGAGCAGAAAAGCCGCACATTTGGGGAAATGCCTTTGGAGGACAGGGGCTTGCTTCTCAAGGAAAGTGCTTCCCAGGGAGCTCCCAGTGAGGCAGGTGCAAGTGTCCCCCTTTGGCTCTCTGTGCTCCTTTCAGTCCTTGAGGCCCGCTGCACTTGGCAGAGGGGCAGGGGAAGGGAGAAGGCTGTGAAGAGCAGGTTTGGCATCCACCTGGACCTGCAGAGACCAACCCAAGCACCTGCAGCAGCGTGTGTTACCCCTGCTTTGGACAGAGGGGTGAGCAGAACCATCTCTGTCCATCTGTGAGCCCCAAAGCTCTCTGTGGGAGCTGTGAATTAAAAGGCCTTTACAAACTCACTTTTCACATCTTCCCTGTCTGCTGTGTTTCAGCTCTTGGCAAGATGCATTTGCCTTTGTGATTTGTGATACCACGGATCCAAGGAGATCATTGTGACCCTGAGAAACCTCTTGGAACCAAGGGGCCATTGTGACACAGCAAGGCCTCATGGAACCACAGGTCCATTGTGACACTGCAAGGTCACACAGAACCAAGGTGGCCATGGAACCAAGGTTCTGCCATGGAACCTCATGGAACAAAGGGACCATGGTGACACTGTGGAACCAGGGAGACTGTTTTTGGCAGTAGGAAAGCTCATGGAACCCCAAGTCCATTGTGACACAGCAAGGCCTCATGGAGCCAAGGGACCATTGTTAAACTGTGCGGCCTCATGGAACCATGAGCCATTGTGACACAGCGTGGCACCTCATGGAGCCAAGAGTCCATTGTTACACTGTGGGGCCCTGTGGAACCAAGGGGACCACAGTGACTTTGTGGGGCCTCATGGAACAATGGAGACTGTTCTGACACTTTGGGACCCACTGGAACCAAGGGGCCATTAGAGCATGGCAGGGCCTCATGGAATCAAGGGGACTACAGTGTCACTTAGACCATTTGATTTAACCTTACTTACAGGCCTGACTGGCTCAGTTACCCAAGGCACTCAGACCCCTCAGAGAGCAGCATTTCTGCCACATTTCCCCAGCACAGGCACTCCTGTGTGCACACAGACACAGAGAGTCAGTGCAGGGCACCTGTGAGAAATTCCCCTGAGGGCAGGGAAATGCTCCCTGTGAATGCTTTGGCATCTCCCCAGCGGGGAAGGGTTGAGCCTGGAGGAGTGGGGGGATCGGCCCAGGCTCCCTTGTTGTTCGGGATCCCCCGAGTGCAGCAAACAGGAGAGTTCCCGGCTCAGAGAGGCCCCACTCAGAGGGAGTCGCTGGCCCAGGAGGGCTCCAAGGGCTCCTTTTGGAGCGCTGTTTGTAGGGCCCCAAGAGAGGGGCTTCAGTCCCAGCCATGTTTCACCCTGGCCGCACTTGGCATCAGCAGCTTTCTTTGGCAGGGTGAGAACAGGGATGTTGTGCCACTGAGGGAACACAAACAGTTCCCAGGGCTGCTCCTAAAGCAGCCAGGAGCTGGTTGGGCAGCAGCAGTGCCTGGAGCAGACAGGGTTTGTGATGAGCTCCAGAGGAGCTGAGCCCAGGGGCTGCTGGCCAAGGCCGAGGCCCAGCGAGCATTTCTCAGCTGGCAGGGCGGCCTGAGAAGGGGGGGAGGGGGGGAATAATTCCCCCCCTCAGTGTGCTCCCAGTCACTCCAGGATTTCCATGTCCCTGCTCCAAATGCTGCTCCCAGCCCTGATCCAAGGGAATGGGAATGTGCCGCTCCCTTGCTGGGGCAGGGTCACACCTGAGCCAGGTGTGCAGGGCAGGACCTTGCCCTGACCCCAAGCACTGTCCCAGCTCCAGGATCTGCTTCCCACCGGCCTCTTCCTCCTGCACCCCCGAGCCCAGCTTGGTGCTGAACAAAGGGACTGGGCCGGGGTCATCCCCCGGCGGGGGCTGCGCACCCCCTCTGCCCCCTCCCCAAATTCCCTCTGGGGGAGCAGGAGCTGGAGCAGGAGCCCTGTGGGGAGGGACAAGGGGGTGAAACCAGGATGGGGGGGGGATCAAACACAGCCCCCGGGGACCCCTCCCTCACCTTCTCCTACAGAGCCAGGAGGATGAACCCCAACATGGAGCCACCAACCTCCAGCAGCATCTTGGCGGGTGAGGTCTGGTGGCTGCTTTGGGGTTCTGGGGGATCATGACTACCCAAAAACCCCCTCCCAGCCCCACAGCCACTCTCAGACTCCTCAAACCACCCCACAGCTCCCAGCCAGGACTCCCCAACTACTCCCTGCAAGATGAAAGTCCCCAAGAACCACCAAATCCCCTTTCCATCTCCTCTAAGACCTGCCCAAATTCCCTGCAAGCCACACAGCTCTGTCAGGGACCCAAACCTCCCTCACAGACCCCTCCAAGCCTCCTCCCAGCACCACAAATGCCCACAAGATTGACAGAAGCCCTTCCCAGTCCCTCCAGGAGCCCCTAAACTTCCACCTCCCATGGCACTGACCAGGAGAGGTTGGTGGGCAGGAACATTTACAGCCAGGATCAGCTCGGGCACTTCAGCAGCGATTTGGGCACTTTGGGAGAACATCCCAAATGGGGAGACACAGACCAGGGACTGGGACAGACACAATTCTTAGAAAACTGGTGAGCTCAGGTGGACACATTCTGCCAGCACATCTGTGATTGTGGACATGTCGCCTGGCTTTGATAGCCTCGGAGCACCCAAATCCTCCAAAATATTCCAATGAACCAAATCCACATTCACCCCCAAATCCTGGTAAATGGTGCAGGTTAAGATATCTTAGTTTAACTTCTTTATTTTCACTCCAGTTTTGGTTGTTTAGACTGGGTGAAGAAGGAAATTATTTAGATGGAAACGACCTCCAAGATCATGCAGCGCTGCTTGATCTGCCACCAGAATAACTTGACACAGCAGGTGATATTTTTGGGGGTGTAAAGTCAACAAATCACTTTCTCCCAATGAATTTCTGGTTTAGATCAGTGTCCTTATGGATGTTCCTGCCTCTGTGTTCATCCAGGTGCCTATGGGAAACTAGGAGAATGTGGAAACCACCTTACAGGTGTCTTCTCAGCAGGGATCACTTGGAATGTGGGTCACCAGGGCTCTGCCCAACATGGGTCCTCCTATGGGGGATGGAATTGGAGCAGTGCACGAAGGTCTTCCTGCAGTCGGGGCACTCACAGGGCTTCCCTTACCGGTGCTTCTGTTGGTGTCGGGTCAAGTGAGAGCTCCTGGAGAAGCTCTTCCCACACCGGGGACACTCGTAGGGCCTCTCCCCAGTGTGGATCCTCTGGTGGATGATCAGGTGGGACCTCTGGCTGAAGCTCTTCCCACATTCCCCACACTCATAGGGCCGTTCCCTGGTGTGGATCCTCTGGTGGCGGATCAGGCTGAATCTCTGCCTGAAGCTCATCCCACATTCCCCACACTCGTAGGGCCTCTCCCCAGTGTGGATGCGCCGGTGGGTGACGAGGGTGGAGTTGTGCTTGAAGCCCATCCCGCAGTTGGGGCAGCGGAAGGGCCTCTCCTGTCTGTGAATCCGCTGATGCACAAGGAGATGGGAGCTGGTGTGAAACCTCTTCCCACACTCAGGACACTCGTAGGGCCTCTCCCCGGTGTGGATCCTCTGGTGGACAATCAGGTCAGACCTGTGGCTGAAGCTGTTCCCACATTCCCCACACTCATAAGGCCGTTCCCCAGTGTGGATCCTCTGGTGGCAGATCAGGTTGAAATTCTTCCTGAAGCTCTTCCCACACTCCGAGCACTCGTAGGGCCTCTCCCTGTCATGAGGCTGCTCACAGACCACCAGCTCTGATCCCTGGCTGAAGCTCTGCCCACCTCCCCGGCACAGGGTGGGTCTTTCCTCCTCAGATCCCCGTGATCTGCGGGTGCAGCCCCTCCTCCTGTGGGATCTCCGGGGCTTTTCCTCCCTGTTGGATTCCTCTGCCATGGAGCCACTCAAAACGACCTCTTCCACGATGTTCTGCCGCGGGGATTTGTCCTCCCTGGTCTCCATCCTCAGCTCCTGCTCTGGGGTAGGAAGGACAAGGAGAGGATGGGATTTGCCTCCGTGCCACAGGGAAGGGCAAGGAGATCCCCCCAGTGCGTCCCCGGCAGGAGGGCACCGGCAGCGGGGCTGTCCTGCAGCCGGGGGCTGTGCTGGGCTGGGAGATGGAGCAGGAGAGAGGGGGAAAGGGGCACTGACTTCCTCCTCACCTGCCTGGGTGTCCTGGGCCATCTTCCTCGCAGCCTCCTCCTCCATGCAGCCAAAGTTTGGGAGTGGGAAATCCTGGTGTGGGGAAAAACAAGGTGTGAACACCTTGGGTTGGGGATTCCTCCTGCACAAATCCATCTCCAGAAGTCTCCTGGTGTCCATAAAAAACTCCAAAAATCATGAGTGAATCAAAAAAAGCCACCAGGAGTGTCCCATTTCCAGTCTCATCCCTCTGGGGTTCTGGTGTCCCCCGTCTCAGGGCTGCTGGGGATCCTCGAGGGTCCTGGGGATCCCCCTTCCCCAGGGTCCTGCTTAGGGATGCTGGGGGGTTTTGCAGTACAAGGGTCCCCCTCTCCAGCCTCTCCCCAGTCCAGGCACTTGGGGGTCCCCCCTCTCCCCACCACCCTGTCCTGGTTTAAGGCAGATCTGGGAGAAAACCCCCAAAGGGGATTTTCTAGAAAGCAGATTCAAGTGGTCTCTCCCCCAACCAGTTCAGGAAAAGATTTCCTTGGAGAAAAGTAGAAAAAACCTGCTTATTTAACAGGCAAAGCATTCACCAGCACAAAACATGAACAATATTAAACAATAAAACCTGTTGTTGCTCCAAAAGAGATGACAAACTCAGAAAGTCCCTCCGTGGGCTGCAGCTCGGCTCACTCAGGCTCTGATCAGTCCCTCCATGGCCCAGGCCCAGCCCGGTGGGCCACAGGTGTGAGCTGCCGGTGCTCTTCTGGTGTTCAGTCCAGAGCAGGTTTAAACAGCTCCAAAGAAAAAGAAAAACCACAGCCCAGGGAACTTCTCTGCCTCAGCGAGCTAAAAACTAACTAAAAGCAAAGGAGAGTTCTGTCCTGCTGTCTGTTGGCAGACAACTGATACCTCAGGTTTAAGTTTTTCTGTTCTGTTTCGGTGTGCAGCTTCTAGCTTTAGATTAAGTGTTCCTGGGATCTTTTCACAGGGTGGTGAAGACAAAACAATCCTGTTCTAGCTGGAGAGTCAAGGACAATCTCTTCAAACTTCAGGCCCAAAGCACAAACAACAGGAAAAGCATAGGGCAGGCAAGCAAGCAAGCAAGGAGGATGAAAGTTCATAATTTGAAGCTATTAATTGGGATGTTAAATCCTGTATGCAAACGGACTAACACTTATAAAAATGTGAGCTCTCATGGCCAAGCCCTCTTTTGCTTCCATCTCGGAGCCATCTGGGCAGAGCCCCGACCATGGCTCTGGTACTGCCGGGGTGTGGCCTTTGAAGGCACTTCAATAAATATCCACTTTATTCCTCTTGGCTCCGTCTGGCCTCTGTCCCAGCTCCTTAAGGCATCTCAGCAGCCCAGGAACCGGAATGTGGAGGGGTGAGTGCAGCTCCTGAAAACAAACTGCGCGCTTCTTCCTCCCCCTCTTCGCTCTCAGAACCAGCCCTGAAGGTGCAGAACTCATTTCGGGGCCAAACGGACCAATGGGGGTACGAGCATCGTGAGGTCACCCCAGGACAGGCCCTGCCAGGCTCAGGGGTCCCGTCCCCGCCTCATCTCCGGCTGCCGGGGGTCCCCCAGCTCCGGTATCGCCCCTTCCCCTCTGCCGCCCCGGGGGTCCCACGTTCCGCAGCCCCGGCTCTCACGGGGATCCCCAAAACCAATGTCCCGCCCTGTCAGCACCGGGCCAGCCCCGCGTGGTCCCCCGGGACCCTCCGAGGGGCGATCACAGCTCCTCTCCCCCCGAAAAAGCTCCTCTTGGGGAGCCCGGAGGGATCCGGGGCTCGGCATCTGCCGGCTCCGAGCGCTCTCCAGAAAAATCCTCCCGGAGACCCCTCGATAGAGCCGGGCCGAGCTCGGCCTCCCCCTGCCCTGCGGCTCGGGGCTGGGGCGATGCTGGCGGGGCAGGGGGTGCTGCAGCAGGATCCTACAGTGACATTTCACTGCCAGCCTTCATAACTTCATCCCTGTGTTGTTGCAGCTCGTGGATTGGGAATGAAATCAGGGCAGGGCCTTTGGTGGGAGCTGCCCTGGATCAAGGGAAACACTGAGAGAGAAACAGAGCAGGCAAAGAGGGGCCGGAGAGAAAGGAGGACACAAACACAATCAGCTGAGAAGGTGGCACTGTGAAAACAGAACTGCAATGGACTAAAAATTAATGCGACAGAAAGAAATAATTTTGTAATTTCCTATCAAAACACATTTTCCTCCGTTTCTCACCAACCTTGTCCTGGTGTCATTCAGCAGGGCTGTCAGAAAGTTCATCATTCTGAGTGGATGTTCCAGGCTGCAGCCACAAGGAAACAGGGAATGGGGATTTTCCTGCTCCTGGGGAGTGAAACACTGATGAAAAATTAAACCCTACAATTTTAATAAAGATTTGTAGAGAATGGGTATGCTTATTTATAACGCTGTGGACGCATGTCCATTAAAGGGCAATAAGTCCTGACATACGTCCACAGCGCTATAAATAAACATACCCATTCCCTACAAATCTTTATTAAAATTGTAGGGTTTGATTTTCATCCGTGTTTCATCATGGCGAGCCAGGCAGGAGATTTTCTGTCCTCGCAGGGGCAGGGGGTAGAACAGACCTCCTTGGCACACCCGGGGAATTTCCCTGGAGGGGCTCTGCTCTGCCTCACTTGCCACCTGCGGAGACAGCCAAGGAGCGCTGGTGTGCGATAAAGGGCCGGACTGAGAGGGCCCTGGGGTGCCAGAGCAGCACTGCTGGGCAGTCCCTCAGAGCCGGCAGGGCCCGGCCTCGCTCCTGGGCCTGAGTGCCCGCGGGGAAGGGAAACAAGCGGAGAAACGGGGCTGAGGACGTTCACTGTGTTTAAAGGCGGTGATTTGTGTGCATTTGAACAGTGGCTAGACGAACTGGGGGGTTCCTCTGCCCCAGTGGTTCGGACTTGGATTCCTGGAATTTTACTGTGTGCTGTTATGCTGTGGTGTGTTGAGAAAACGGGACACTTTAAGAGATACCACCAGTGAGTTTCCCAGTGAGTTTGTGTGATTCTTCCCCCACATTATAGTATTTTAATTCTCGAGATTATATAGTTGCATTTATAGAGATTTTAAGATTTTTTTTTGCAACAAGTGTAGCATTTTATGCAGAAGAGCTACACTATAATGATTTATGTTTAACTGTAGTAAAACAAATTAAAGGAATTCCAAGAATTCCTCCCTCACAGCAAGGTAAGCCCTGACTCTCCTTTAATTTGAGATAAGGACAGGGTTCTGTGTTTGTGGGCATATCAGAGTTTTTGCTGTAACAGACACAGCCTTTTGCAGGGCAACAAAATAAGTGTCAGTAGAAACAATGCTTTAATTAGATTGTGTGAGAAGAGAACTAGAAAAGACTGAGATTTTGTAAAAGAGGGGTTAAATAAAGGAAAAATGCCAAAGTGATAAACAGAATAGCCTGCAGGCGATTCCCGGGAGTTTTTGGTGCAGTAAGAGGCTGGCACCTTGTATGAGTACTATTACAATGCAGAGTTTGTGAGAAGGGCTAGTATTGCTGTTCCATGCCCCAAGTGTAAATTGAAGGCTCCTAATCAAGCCAATTCAGAACCTGAGATCTTAAAGCTTATCTGTAAATGATCGCATCTCATACCTGCGACCTGGAAAGTCTGTGTGTGAGAAAAACTGAAAAAAGACCATGAGGCTTGGGTAGAAACAAAATAGTATAAGCAATAAAAACTAACCAAAGCAAAGAGGTTCCCAGAAAGCCTCCAATAAGGGCAGCTCAGAAAACTAAAGGATTTACCTTATTGCAACCAATGCTGTTTTAATACAGGAAAGCAAATAAGGTGAGGTCTTGTATGCTAATATGTTTTTTCACCTTAAATAATCACCCAGAATGGCAGAGTAACTGGGTTCAGAGTTCCTTCTGACCCACTGGTGTTAGCTCTTAAAAAAAACAAAACAAAACAAAACAAAACAAAACAAAACAAAACAAAACAAAACAAAAAAAACAACACAGCAAAGAGAAAGCAAATAAAATGTGTTGCTCAGCATGCAGTATAAGGCAGTGATATATGAAATCAGACAAAACTCATCATCCTGAAACACAAAAGCATATATGATTTGTAAAAAGCTCCTCCTAAAGTAACAGAAGATTAAGATCTCCCTGAAAGGGAAGAAAACTCAGGCTCCAAAGGTATATCCACTCAAACCCATCCCCCTCCTGGCAGTCTAATCTCATCCAGAACTAGGAGGTAACAGACCCCTCTGAGAGAGGCAGTGGGATCCAGGAAAAAAAAAAAAAAAAAGCTGGAATTTTAGTTGATACAGGGGCCATATATTCACTTTTAAATAAAGCTTTAGTACCTGTAGAAAATGTAGAGAAAAATTATGTTGTAGTGTAGAGAAAAACTGGCCAGTCTGAGAAGGCATACTTTTGCAAACCTTTAAAGTAACAAGAGAGTATTTACAAATTTCTGTATATGCTCAACTGGCTAAACATTCTAGAATGAGGAGGTTACTCTAGAGGTAAATGATCAAAGGTACATAGAAGTATTAAGTTTAACATTAACAGCCATTTAAAATGAAGAAGAAATTCATTAAGAGGTATTAGGACAAGTATTTTTAAAGTATAAGCCTCTAATATACCACGGAGGGCAAAGAATGCCCCCCCAGTAATCAGGCTTAAGGAAGAGACACGACCAGTAAAAAATTAAGCAGTAGAAATCAAGAAGAAGCAGTACACCACGACTGCCCAGAGACTACTGAAACTACTTACTCCAGCTGCCCAGACTTCAAGGACACTCCTTTGGGTGATGCAGAGACCTGGTTCACTGATGGGAGCAGCTACGTTGCCAGTAAAAAGCAACATGCTAAATATGCAGTCAATACCTGCAAAGAGATAATAGAATCCAGACCCTTACCAACAGGCACCTCTGCACAAAAAGCCAAGATTATTGCACTGCCCTGTGCCTTAAAAATGGCAAACAAACTCTAGATATGCATTCAGAGTTATACACGCACATGGAGCTGTCTAGAGAGAGAGGGGGGACTGCTGACCTCGCAAGGAAAGACCATCAAGCATGCACAAGAGATAATCCAGCTGCTAAAAGTATGCATATTAAAGCACACCAAAAAATGAGCTCAAAATTAAGAAAAGAAAAAATTGGAAAGGCAAAGAAAGCAATAGAAAGTAATTATAGACAAATTTCCCTTAAAGGTAAGCCAAAAAATAATAATACTATTTAAAAAAAACATATAACCAAGAAGGATGGGCTACGGGCTACCATTGAAATAGAGCCAGAAATCCCTTCCCATATGTGTAGTCACTAGTAAGGGAGAAGCACCAAAAAATACACTAAGGCCTAACTACTTAAAGCTTTTGTAAAGTGTAGCTCCTTTCCCAAAATGACCAAGGCTGCCAGTGTTACAGAGTACATCAAAAATAAATAGTAATTTCCCCATGCTTTTATAACACATACCTAATTTAAAAAATCATGATCATTGCCAGGAGCTTATATGCCAGGTGAACTGACAGTGTGATCCTTGCCTCCAAACTAACCCCAGGAATAACCCAGACAAAACTTGGTCAGATTGAGAGGGGACATGGATCTGGACAGCAATAATAAATTGGCTTTTCAAAACCCCCATAAAAAAGGAAGTGTCAATATTTATAAATATTAGCAAATACATTTTCAAGGTAGCCAGAAACATTCCCCACCAGAACTGTCAAAGTCACCAGAATAAATAATACTAATTTTAGAGCTCCAGTCACAATATTAAGTGTAGCTAGAACTCAAAACAAAACACTAAGTAAACCAGTACATAACATACAGCCTAAGAATTAAGTCTACCTTAAGTCTCCTCCAAAAAAGACTTTAGAAGCAGTAAAAAAACACCATTCCAGATACTTCTCACCACACTCACCACAATCAAGATTAAAAAGCAGAATGCCTAGATCCACCATGCTCAAATAAAACAAGCCCCAAAAGCCCCTTAAAAACTAACACCAAAAAACAATGAACTAAAACTAAAACTTATTCAAGCAAAATGAATATATTGTAGCAGAGAGAGTAATTTATAATTTTATTTATAAAATTGCTTTGTATATAATTGTAATTAAAATCCTAAAATACCTCTATCCAAAAGAATACTCAATGGCCTTAGTCCCAAGTTCTAATCAGTATACTAAATCTATAAGAGAGCTAGCCACTTCAGCAACTAAACTAAGAAATTTAAAACAACCCCTACAGTTATCCCTAAAAGGCCGGGGTCCAAGATCACAAGTTATGTGTCTTTAGCTTTCAGTTTTATACAAGCACAGTTTTGGATACAGGCAACAGCAGCTTTGATCATACAGGAGAAGGTGAAAAGCATCTGTAACCTATATTTGTGGCCACTGCCTTGGTACTTACTGTACACAAAGCCACTGTTTATCTGCCAATTCGAGATTCATTCAGCCACAGATCAGAAAACTGTGCTTGTATATGCTAGTAAAGATTTTATATACTTAAGAACTCCTTATACTACTATAATTGTACCTAATAAGTCAAATGTACATAGTAAAGCACTAAGAGGCACTTACTAATGTCAAGATTTGCATTAAGTAAAAAAATACACTTATCATCTTAAGGAAAGGGGGAACGAGACAGAGTAAAAATTTAACAAAGTAGAAATCCATTTAAATTTAGGTGAAATGTACCACTTTGAGCTTGCTAAATATGCTGTTTAGTCTGGTGACTGCAGGCCTAACAAAACTACCCCAGCTGAGGAGAAAGAATGCAGATTTCCACACTAAAAGATAAGAGATAAAAAAGACTCCTCAGACCTTGTGTAAGAGGCCGTCTGAAGACCCTCACTCATTTGCCTGCCGATTGCCACGAGAAGGAACTCCCTTCCCCCACTGCAGTTCCGGCTTGGAGAAGGCAACAGTGCAGGTGCAGCCGCTGCACCGTTACGTTCTGTTCCGAATGAGGCCCGGCAAGAACTTGGCAAGAAGTTGGCAAGGACTTGGCGAAGACCCAGCGTGGACCCAGCACAGAGCGGCCCTCTGCAATTCCTGCTTCACTCTCCACCTTTAAGCTGAATGAACTGTTGGGGTGACTCTGGTGGTCTCTCACTGAAGACCCCTCATCTGCCTCATTACCACCGTGACAGACGGAGATCAAGAACCCTCTCCCCAAGGACTGAGACTGAGACCCCTACCACAGAGAGTGGTGGTGGGGGGAATGACATGACCTGTTCTTCTCCAGTAACTTCAATGGACTTATTCATTATTGTGTTTGTTCAGCCTGGATGATTTTCTGTAGATACACCTGTTCCCCCCATAGCAATTTCAATAGACTCTCATTGTTCTGCATGTTCCCCCCTTTTCCTTCTGTGGACTATAACTGGACCCCTGGGTTGGGTAGGATTTCGGAGACTCTCCCCAACACAACAAGACGGATCCCCATCGTCCGGACCACTGAGGACCTCGCCTGTGTTGGTAGCTATTCCCATCCCCCCTTCTCTCTCTCTCTCTCTCTCCTTTTTATTTCTTTTCTGACCCCACTATCGCATTTATTGTTTTTGGCCCTTAATAAAGGTGCATCTGTTGTGATTAAACTGATAGTCCCCTGCTGTTTGTCTTTTGCACTTTGGGATCGGCTAACGAACCATCACGACACCCCGCTATAAGCGGATCGTGACATTAAATTGGCGTCACGGACAGGATTTCTGTCTAGGCAGAAGGGTGCAGGTTCTGTGTAGTCTGTAACAGGGGAAGGACGTTTCTCTCCAGCCGCACCTAGCCTGCCAGTCCAAAAAACTGAGCATGGTCTAGAAAGCAAGGGGGGAGATTCGAATTTCCCGCAGACTGCACATTGCCTAGGCGAAAAAAGCACCCACACTGTCTTCAGAAATTGCAAAAGATCTCTTAGTGCAAAAGGCGGGACACTGTGTTGTTTTATGTTTGCACTGTCTGGGAAGGAAGGGACAACTTGAGGAAACTAAGCAGAGCCTCCTAGGCAGGTTTTGTCTCTTCACCCACCCAGGGAAGTGAAGGGCGACACAGCGAAGACTGTGTGCTTTCCGTAACTTAAGTTTGTACCTCCCTGCCGTGGTTTTGGTCCCTTCACAAA